AAGGAAAGGAATGGGGTAGAGAGAAAATCCTTTACCTTTCCCTTTTGTTTAAAACAGTATGTTTTTGCCATGTGATTTACTTAACATTATTTTTTAAATGGTGCGGCGTGCGGGAAGGAGGCAGAGTAAAAAAGTTAAAATAAAAAGGAGTTCAGGTAGTGTCAGAATAGCACAGGATCAATAATTTGGCCCAAGCAGAGAGGGCAGGTACATCTTGCTAGAAAGGAATCAAGGGCAACAGGAGAAGAATAGTCCCTAGTACTGCTGTATTTGTACCTAAAAGCTGTGTTCATTATTCTATAATTTAAAGAAGTATCACAACCTATAATTTTCATTCCACTGCCAAGATTATAATAATGGGGGAAGGGGAGGATATTGTAATGATTATGAGAATTAAGTACAGTCATTCCTTGATACCCATGGAGATTTGGTTCCAGGACTCCTGCAGACAAAACACCTGTGGATACTCAAGTCCCCTATGTAAAACTAGAGTGCAAAATTTGTGCACTTGGGGGGCGGGGGGGGCGTGTCCCTCAGCCCAGCCTGCGCCCTCTTGCAGTCCTGGAGCCCTCAGGGGATATCCAATTGACAGCTCAGGACCCATTGGTCAGACATCCTTAGTGCTGCTGCTGTGCTTGCCAGCCATGAGCCCAGCTCAGGGCTTCTGGCTGAGCGGTGCTCCCCCTGCGGGAGTGCATTGACCAGCAGGGGCAGCTCCTATGTTGAGTGTCTGCCCCCTTGTGGTCAGTGCGCATCATAGTGACCGGTCGTTCTGCCATTCAGTCGATTTGCATATTACCCTTTTTTTATATAGGATGGTGCAATAGTTGCACATAACATATTTGCATATAGGCTATAGTAGGGATATGTCTACACATCACTTCATTTGAGTGAATTCAGCATAGTACTCAGTGTGTGGCAAATTCAAATTTTGCTTTTTGGAACTTTCTGGATTTTTTCCCCCAATATTTTCGATCCATGGTTGGTTGAATCCACAGATGCAGAACCCACAGATATGGAGGGCTGATTGTACATCTGTCTATGTTAAAGTACAATACTCAACAAAGGATATGCAAACTTTTCAGTGCATAATCCATAATATGCTCAGGTTCACTCAACTAGTTTCTTTCAAATGAAATTAAAAATAATAAAGAAGTCCTGACTTTTAAGAAAAACTGTTCTTGAAGCTAATTTGGATAAATTTCAAAAAAGAAATTATATGCTTCATTCAGATGTACTTGAACATACACACACTCTGATTCTTATTCCTAGCAAATCCCAACTGTATGTCCTTCAATCAATCAACTCAAAAAATGTCATAAAATATAAAAGTGAAGAAAACTGGTGTCACAGTATCTTAATTAAATATGCTGAAACAATAAATAAATAAATATGCTGAAACACAGCACATCTCAAGGAAGATACAAGGTACTAAATAAGGACCTGTTTTCTTTCATTTTTCAATCAACAGATTACATCATTATTACTTGGTATTTCATGTATTAAACTATATAGTCATATAACCTGAGACTTAGTAGGTATACAATCAATGGCTCTTTGAACAGAAGCAAATATGTGAATTCTGTTCTTCCTCCTTTCCGAATCATGTAATCTACTCCTAAGACTACAGGGTCCCTTCCTTCTAACAAAAATTTTATTTCCAATAAAGGAGCAATGTGACTAGGAAAGAAAGGAGGAATATAGAATCCACCAAGGAAAATTAAGAAGTAGACAAGCAGGTTCACTATACATATGACCTTGCCAACAATATACTTTTTTAAAAATCACACCAAAATTCAAAAATGCTCTAACTCATAGTTTTCTAAAAGGACATTTCTAAAGGAAATGTATTTCATAATTCTCTAGTCATCCACAGGAATGAAAATAAATACAAATGTTAACGAAAATGAAAGTGTAAATTCAGTTGGAAATTAATTACTAATCCCATGATTACCAGAGTGTCAAATGATCTTTCACTCTGATTCACTCAGGTCCAAGCAAAGACTAAATCTTTGCTTTGGCTAAATTCCACAGCTCCAGGTAAATTAAAGGAATAAAGTGTTGATGAATCATGTCTGAAGAGACCAAGAACAAGTTCAATATTGTATTTAGAAGACCAGGGGGGAAAAGTGCAAAAGAAAATAAATGTGTACAATAAAAAAGGTGCATCTAATTAATAACTAATTAATAAAGGCAAAAATAAGAAGAAATTGTAATAAAATTCCTGCCATTTTCATGGACTCAACTTGTTGACATATCAAATTATTCTACCTGTATATCCCATGTCATATATCTACAAGAAGTGAACAAACCTCTCATGTTCTCCCAACTAGGATCAAAAGGGTGAAATAAGAGGCAAAGGGGAAAGAGGACTGGGTTAGGCAGGATGAATGGTAGCCAGCAAAGGCAACAGTGCTGGTATGTGGGGGGGAGACTTCTTGGTGGAGGGGCTGTCATCTCCACCAAACAACTCCAACTAGCACCTCTGTTTCCTGAGTCACCCTGACGTTGTCACTAACTCACCAAGTTAAAAACACAACTCAACCAGTTTTCCCAGGAAACCCATTACAATAAATTCCTTGGCCATCAATATTTTTTGTGCATGTATTTTTTACCTATTTTCAGAGAATATGACAAACTATTCTTATTACTTGGATGACTCACATATGTAAACACAGCACAGTTCTTATATATATTATCTAAAATAAAACAATTATTAATTTAAATCATCATTACAGATCTTTTCAGTTTCAAAATTTGACCAGGTCAGATAGCTGTCATCACACCTCCTCCACATACCACTATATACATTAATTAAAAAGTACTTACAAGCTACTTCATGCTGACTCTAAAAAGCCCAGATGAGAATTTCTTTCAAAAACATTATATATAACTAACTCTGGTCCAGTAAGACATTTACTTTAGCACAGCTAAAATAAAATTTCTATTTAATAGAAAAAATAGTGTCAACACCAGTCATCTACTCCCTCAATTTCCTTCCACCAAATTTCCATACCCATCTCTTCCTACTACAATCCCTGCAAAGTCTTAATATATTATGTACTCCATTTTGTTTTCAACCTCTCACTCTTTCCCATCAATTTTCAATTATTCAAGTTTCTCCCTTTCAATTGCACATGTCTCCTCTTTATAAAATTTCCTCATTCTATACTTATACATCAACCAAATCTGTCCCCAACAGGCCAATTCTGACTTCTTTGTTATTATAAAGCCAATCCTCACTTTGCTTGCCATCTCTGCAACAAACTTCATCATGACATCTATAATCTCATGTCCACAACCCCTCAAATCTTGTTTAGCTCAACTCCTGCACCCCCTTCAAGTCCTCCTTCGTCTTGACCCCCTAAGAAAAGTGAGATCCCAATACTTCCACTGTGTGTTCAACTTCCTTCTTCCTAAGGCCCCATCCCACTTGTGCCTTCTTCAGTTCAAGTCCTTCTTTATGGATTATGTTCTCTAGAGATAATATTGTTTTCATTATGTAATCAATTCCAAAGCAGAGCACCTGGCATATAATAAACAATAAATATATAACTGCCTGAATTACATTCACTTGCTCATAAATAAGCTGTTCTCACTCTAATGAATTTATCACCGCAAAATGAACTAAACGTGTGCTACCTTCTTCCAGGACCCACGGTCCTACCCAATTATGTATTTCCTAATCCAATATAAGTGTGTTGTTTCAATATGCATGATTCTAAAGAAAAAAATACCATAAATATTTAAAGAGCATCTCTAGGGGGGAAATAGCTAGCTCTTACCCTACACTCAGCAGAGACCTATGATGTCAGAGTATATTAAAAAAAATTCAATTCAAAGGTGTATTAATGTTTTGGTCTACCGTAATCTTTTTATTTTTAAAATACTCGCAATCAACATCTATAACATCAGTGAGCCATGCTCACTGACTATCTGACAGAATTTCTATACAGGAGAAATTAAGGGGCTGTATTCGACGATAGGTATGAATTTAATTTGAAACTGGATTTGCTTGGCAAGAACACTATTTTACTTAAAGTGTTATGTTTATTTGTGATGGTTTTAGAGCAATGATGGGAATTACACCTGGGGATTAGAGCTTTCCCAAGGTACTGGCATCGGTAATACAAAACCTTCTCTTTAAGCCAACCAAACATCCATTAATAAAGTTAGAACTACAGTGGGGCCTTGACTTACGAGTGTCCCGACTAACGAGTTTTTCAAGACACGAGCCGTCTCTCAGCCGATTTTTTGCTTTGAGTTGCGAGCTAAAATTCGGGTTACGAGCCAGCTTCAGATACCCCACCACTAGTTGGCACAGCAAACGTCACAGTGAACGCCACAACATCAGCCCAGCATTCAATTCATTGTAATGGTGAAAATTGATTTGACATACGAGTAATTTGAGTTACGAGCTCGGTCACGGAACGAATTAAACTCGTAAGTCAAGGCCCCACTGTAGTAGCAAAGGATGTAGCAGCCATTTTTACAGTGTACATTTTATAAATAACTAACCAAAAAGTGTAACACATTAAATAGTCACTTAAATATTATAAGCATGACTATGACAAAAAGTAAGTTCCACAAAAATTATTATCAGGATGAGCCAAACACTAGAACCATCTGGATCTGAAAAACAAACTACAATAACACTCTCAATATTTATAAGCTGGGCAAAGTTAAGGAGGAAGAATTCCCAAGAAATGCAATGGGGACATGAAGAGAGAAATGTATTCTCTACTTCTCTATAAAAATGAAAATCAATGAGACTGGAAAGAACATGAACGTCTATGAGGTGAAAAGAAAGGGTATCTGATCTTTCACACCTTAAGATTTATTATTTGTAATTTTATTGTACTGCCCATTTATGAACAAGAATGCTAAAAGAACAGAGCAATTAATATTTATTTTTAATGTTTATTAATATTGTTTAGAACACAATTCCTACATTAAAAACAGGCAACAGAGTCAGCTTTAAAATTTCTGTGTTACTTTACCTTATGCAACTGTAATGTTTAAAAGTGCTGGCAGCTTTCTGACATTCCAGGCACAACTGAATAGCTCCTGGGTAGTCTTCCTCCTTAAGATAACAACAGAAGTCATTAGACTAGAGACATTTTTCTTAAAGCCCCTGCAGAAATCTCTGTTTGTCCTCTATCCAAAAGTTACAGAACCAGAAAAGTTTAATTTCTTTTATGTAAGGATTAGAATACCAATAAAAAATAATAAAATAGAGAGAGGCAAGTAGGTCCAGACCTAAAACATTTAAAATGCATGCATAGAAAAAAATATTCTGTTTCCTCAAATATACAGTCACAGCTCTCTATGACCATGACATGCGTATAAAACCTATATAGGATTGATTACAAGCTGCTTCACAGGGAATGTTTACATAAAACGTTCCAAAACAATTATGCACTCTACCTGTAATCAACATTCAACAGTTCTACCACAGCACTCAACAGTTCTACCACCAAGAAATCAATAAATATTTTTAAAACAAATAAATTTGGAAAAAAGTAAAATATTCATTAATAGCCTCAGAATATTTTATCACCTAAACATTAATTGAATGTCAAAAGAATTTTTCATATGGATGTCTCAAACCCTAGTTTAATCATAGTAGTTTAGAAGTAATACAGTGATTACACAGAAAACCCTAAAAAAAATTTTTTCCTTAAGGTCATACCTAAGTTCAACAATGCAATTCAAACCACTGGGGATGCTGAGATAAAGTTCCTAACCTAAGGAGCTTCAGTGGTAATAGGGAAGCATAGAAGATTAGGCTTTTGTGAACCTTGTAACAGAAGTAGACTGAGAATGCTACGAAACTGTGAAAGAGAAAACACACACCTCACTCAGAAAACCAATTAACATGAGATACCAAACATAACTAATACGTGAAACATATCCTAAATTACTTCTATACGTTAGATGGAAAAGACAATTTTATTATTATTTAAGTGCAAATATAATCAAAAGATACTGATGTTCACAGTCCCATGTTGCTACAAACTAAATATTTATCCAAATAAATTTTTCTAAATGAAGCACATTATGTCAATAGAAAAATGCTCTAGAGTGAGTACCTTTGCCTGTCTAAAAGGGCTCTTTATACCATCTACCAATTTGAGAAAAATGCCCATCTGAATTTTTTCACTATAACTTTTCTATTTAATATTATCGAGAGGGCCAAATTTCCAAGCCTTCTCAACTTACCTCTAGCATTTCACTCAAGCGCACATCTGTCCTTTGCTGGAAAAAAAAAAAATCAAAGGTAAAACCTGTCTCAACCATAAAAATAAGTTTTAATTTTTAAAAAGTAACCTGTATATACCAATGTTTTTATAGTCCTCAGAGATTTCAGAAGTCCAATCAGCAACTGACGTTTCCTTTGATTTGCAAGAAGGCCTAAACTAGCTTGAGTAAAACCTTCCTTTGCAATATTCAAGTGTCTGCAAAAGTGAACAATAAATAGTTAAATTTTTCTAGCATAAAAAGAATACTATCCACACAGAACAATAGGTCACTAATAAGGAAGTATCCTTGATTACTCTTAAAACTAGGCATTACGACTACTATCACAAATTTATGTGACAAATTTATTCAACGGCTCAATCTAAGCCAGCATTACTCAAAGTGTGGTGGGTGGACTAGTGCCAACCCTCAAACTGTCACTGGCCCATCAGAAGAAAAGTACAAAGAAACTGAAAATAAGCATTTAAAAACATTTAGGGAGAAGGTTGACATAATAATTTTATGCTTCATGAATAAATAATAAAAAATTGGGACTGTACTTTGTATGTCTTTGGTTTGTTTGTTTTTTCCCATTTCCCTAGTACTTTGTTTTTATTGCATTTACAAAAATAACACCCTGTAACAAGTTAGAAATTTAAAAAGAAAAAAAAAACTGGTCCTTCACCATAGATAGATTGAGAAGCACTAATCTAAGCAAATACAAAAACAGTAATGTTTTTATACCATAACTAGGTGTACTGACATTTCTCACATACCTTCTTAGTATAGTTTTTAGATCATAACCTATATTGTTACTAAGTGGTATTCTAGAAATTACAGTAATAACAAAAAATCAATTATCAATGATAGTTTCATAGTTTTCCTTGAAATGTTTTCCAGTTTAAAGAAGAAAATATCATCAACTGCAATACCTTCTCCCATTTGTGCAGATAACAGCAGCTAACTGAAGACCTGTCTGTAATGAGGTAACTCTTTCAAGTTCCTATGGAAAGATTAGGTACAGGTTATTATTTGAGGCATTTTATTTTTCTTTCCTATTCATATGGTACAAAACCTTTAGTGGGTTTCTAAGAAAAGCCTGCTTGGAAAACAAAGTAGCAAAAAAAATACCTGAACCTGAAAACTGTTGGTATATATTTCAATAAAATTACTTAAAATGACAATCTTCAATTGATTTTCACAACAACATATGACAAAATATTTAGTTAGTATTGCTTATAAGGAAATCTAGACCCAACCTGCTTTATACAGGCATAAATAAAGACTAATATATCCACTTAAATGTTTCTACCCAACAGAATTTCACAAGGTAATCAAGAATATGACAAATATGATTTATGTTTGCTAAGATGCTTTGGCAATGAATGCTTTCTTTTGAACACTAGTAGATATTTCAATGGATTAAGTCTCTAATTTTTCTAATGAAAAGATAGATTCTGCTGCATAATTCCAATTTTATCATATTTTAAAGACCAATTGTTATATTGCCATTGAGCGTTCATTATTAATAATCTACATGTTACAGAGAATATAAAAGCAATTTTCATTGGCTATTCTACCGTTTGGAAAACCAAAGATATTACTTTAGAATCAGTTATAAAAACTCTTTCATTTCTTCAGTTTGGCAAATACCCCCAAATGAGAATACACACACACACACACACACACACACACACACACACACACACAGAGTGAATATGTTGCTACAAAACTATAGACAAAAGAATAAATTAAAATACTTCAACAGTTTCAGGACTATATCACTCATTTTTTAAATTTCACTATAATATTATATTATAACAAATAACAATATTTTTATCTAGCATAAAAAGAATAATATCCACACAGAATAGGTCACTAATAAGGCAGTATCCTTAATTTAACAAAATATAACCAATATTTTGATGTTCACATTCCCATGTTGAACAAATAACATATTATATTTTAACAAATAAATAACAAATATTACTTTACCTTTACATAAGCAGGCTGCTTCTCAAGGATTAAATCTGCTACTTTTTTAGACACCTATAAGAACATACCATCAAACAAAGAAAGTAAGAAAAAAAACTCATGCTTCCTATTACATTTTATATTTTTTAAATTTCCAAGAATATTCTACAGGTCTTCCCTATAAATTTTTCAGTATGCTATGATCCCACATATTTCTCTGGGCTATGAAATTAGTAAGAGGTATATAGCACAGAGCACAGTACTCAACAAATGTTCATTATAACTGTTGAATATCATTATCTGATTTGACTAACATACACAAAAGTTTAATCATCTTGAAGAGTTCAGGATTTGCATTAAAAGATGAACTTGTTAAGATAAATAAGTGTTTAATCAACTGAATTTATGAAGACAGTATCTGGGAAACAGAGAATGTCCTTGCACCCTGCAGATCCTTTTGTACCACATAAGAAGACAAATGGCATTTTGGTCCCTTTCTTCTGAAGAATTGAGAACATGTGTTTTTTGGAATGCTATGGAGATATTTCAGGTTTTCTGAGCCAATTCCATGAATAATGTTAACGCATACAAGTTAGTTATAATGATTTTAAACATGAGGCTCTTATTTCACAATTTCAGGGGCCTCTGTCAGATTACACTATGAGATACCAAGTCTAGCACAAAGCATGGCACACTGAAGTTACTTAGTGAATGTTTGCTCAGGAAACACAATTGGTTCCCCGCCCCCAGGCCAACTGAGAACCAAACATTATTCACACACACACTTATGAATGGCATTAATCTTTTCACGTTTTCTTAATCTGCTTTGAAATTTTACATATATATATAGATGTATATAGATATGAATTTGTACAGATGTACCCAGAGGAAAACCCACCTAATTTTACCAAATTGGGTTTATTTTTTAAAAATAGACAATGTAGCCCTGGCTGGGGTGGCTCAGTTGGTTGAGCGTCATCCCATGCACCAAGAGGTGACCATTTTGAGTCCCGGTCATGGTATATGTCTGGGTTGTGGACTCAATCCCCAGTAGGGGGTGTGCAAGAGGCAGCCAATCAAAATTTCACTGTCACATCAATGTTTCTCTCTCTCTCCATCTGCCTTCCTCTCTGTCTAAAATCAATAAAAACATACTTTTAAAAATAGGCAATGTAGTTATTGTTATTTTGCACTGTGCTAGGCAGTGTACTAAGTGATTTCCCTACATTATCTCAATTAGCACTCACGTCAATCTATAGAAATGGGTTACATGTTTCCTCATTTTCCAGATGAGTAATCTTAAACATAGTAGTAACTACGCATAGGCTGAATTTTATAAAAGTAGTTCAGCCTAACGTGAGGAAATACAGAATTATAGAATTTTATGGCACTAAAGAAAATGCTGGTCTAACCCATCACTTCACAGATAAAACAAAAGAGATTTATTTACCAATGTTAAGTGATTACAATTCAGCTTTTCTGAATCCTACACCTGTATTCTCTTTGGACATATTTTAACAAGAAATCGGAATCTTTTATTCTGAGATAAAACAAAGAAACAAACAAACAAACAAAAACTCCATAACAAAACTGTGAGTAGTTTTGCATGACAAGGAGCCTAAAGGTACTTAGTAATCTGAAAAAAAAAAAAGTTCAAAATTCTTTCATCACATTTAGAATTCCAGAGAAAAAACTTCCAGTTCTGAATAGGCATTAAATTTTAATATAAATGTATCAGTTGAGGAAAAAGTCATGTTAAGTATGATTTGTTTAGTATGTAACTATATTAGTTAAACCATAACACCTGAAAACATTACACCTTTATGCTGTGTTTCATTTACGGTTTTGTCACAAAGAAATGTGTTTTTTACTCACTGCAGCTTGTTGTTGTTTCAATTTGTCTCTGTACTCCTCTAATTCTTGCAAATTGAGAACAGGAGGGAGCTTCTAAAAAACAAATCCATTAGAGAAACGTAAAATAAATTGTTTAGTTTGGTGTCATTTACCTGTACACCTCTGTCTTATGAACTGTGCATACAAAACAGTGTCACATCTCAATCATGTTCATTCCTCCTGCCCCCCCCCCTACTTCCCCTGTTAGACTCCAAACACAAAAGCCTACACATCTTTGTTACCCTACCCTCTGTGCTCCTTGCCCAGCCCACCATCTCCACTACAGCTGCCTCCCACCTCCAGGAAATCCCACTACCATTGGGACCCATGACTCCTACGCTAGGAGATACTGCTTTCATGATCTGTGACAGGAGAATTCCCCACGCTACCAGCACTTCTTCTCTATGACAGAATTCAAGGCGTATTTCCCCCCTGAAATGCCATGAGTAGTAAGTAAGCACCTCAGGGTGACAGTGACAGCTGTTGGAGTACATGCTAGATTATACATTGGCTTTCGAAGGACAGCATGGGAAACTACCAAAAGTGTATACCACTGTGTAGGTGCGAAACTCCAACTTAGACTCCAAGTCTCAGTCAACTGATTGATGAAACCTCAGAATGAGATGGGGAATGCCTTTATATGTATTGCATATAAAGTATGTACATGCACATTGTGTTTGGTTTTGTCTAAAAACAAATTTTACTATTCTGGCTTTTTTTTTGAAGTTCTTATAAATTTAAAATGCCAATGCTGTAAACATTATGGCATAGGGATACTTATCATGACTACACAATTATGCAGATATATATCCATGATTAAAAATCCTAGAGCTTTTTAAAACATATTTTACATAAAATAAAATAGAGGCAGCATATTAACATACTGTGTGTTAACAGTTAAAAAACAAAAATACAGAAATGTTTCCTGGACAAATATTCTACTCCTGCACTTAAGTTTACATTTTTTAAAATAATTTCACCTTTAAACAATGCAGACAGTTCAGTGAATCACAATATGGTCATTACAGACCAATGCTGGTATCAAAAAATATAACATCCCTAAAAAGCATTAAAATCTCACAAATGTAATCATTGGGGGGGGGGGGCTTTAGACAGGTTTTAATGAATTTTATTTTTTACCTCCAGCTCATATTTAACAATATCAAATGAGTCTGTAGAAAAATATATTTGTTCAATACTATTGATTAGTTCTTGTTCAGCTTGAGGATCACTAGGCTGTTCTCGAAGTTCTCGGAATTCCTCCTTTAAGGAAAAAAAAAATCACAATTACAGTACTTGTAGCTGTTACAGTTCTATCTACACAGAAATAAATAATCATCTTTCTTAATAATCACAAATCCAAGGAATCATTCTGACAAAGGAGACAAACTGATAGAAAACAGGAAAGTTCAAGAAAATAGCCAAACACTAAAAACTATTCATCTATTGAAGAAAAAACAGCCAGTTTGATAATTCAGATTTGATTTTCAATTCCTTCAGTGCCAACTAGTAGTTGAGAGAACTTAAATGTTTAATGAAAGGAAAAAAACAACCACCTAGTACCTGTCATACATACATACCACATGTAGACACATTTTCATCATTTTACAACATTCTAAAATCTGCCTCACACAGATAAACAGGGAACAACATCTCAGTGACATCTGAGTCACAATTGGCACTGGACCCCTGAGAAGCTGACATCCCTCCTTCTGCTGAAAAATCTCACTGCTCAGCTAAGAAACACTGGCTCCAGAAAAGCTCCACAAGTTTAGCTCTGCAAGTCCATGAGACTTCCTTCCAAGTCTACTAATACTGCAACTAATAATATGATTATGAAACTAGTGCTCTACATCGGATAAAATGCTCCTTCCTAATAATACACAGTGGGACTGCTATGACTTTATGTAACTGAAAAGAGTTTGACAGACAAATCCTACCCCTAATGTCAGCATCCTTACCTATGCAATTTCATTGCTTAACTGAATAAACCTTCAGTTAACTGGGAAATTTCAGTAATCCCGATTCCCTCTCTTAACCACACTAATTAATCAAGACATTATTATAGACATATAACAATTTAGTCATTTGATCATACATTTAAGTACACAAAATGAAACTAGTATTTTAAATCATTTTATGTCATTAAAATAATACTTTGAAATTCTTAATGAATTCTCACTAAATAAATACACAAAAATTATATGGTCAATTAGAGGACATTATTTGCCAAATAGAAGTACTCTATATTATTTTATTGCAGGGCACAGTTTTCAATAAAAAGAAAGCCTTATTTTTTTTTTAAAGCCTTATAACATATATCAGTTAGGCTTTGATATTTTACATTTGTAAACCTATTAAACATAAAATTATCTCCTCTGGATAGATCTAAGCTAAAATATTAGAGCAATAAATCTGAAGATCAAGAGAATATTTAATTAAGTTTAAAATTCCAGTAAATTTCAAAGAGAAGGCAAAGTAAGTGCATGAAAAAGAAAATGCCTCTTTAGTACCAAAGCTCAACTTACAAAATACACTAACAAAAAAAGGTAAGAGATATAGCCATCACCAATTCAATATGCAATTAGATACTATGAGTACAGTAAGAAATGAGTGAGGGCTGTATTTGGGGGTGAAGATTTCTCTACAGCACACTAATCTGTGTAGTACCCTGGACAGTGGTGCTGAAGAACAGACTTGGGTTAAACCCCCATCACTTACAGAAGGGTTCTCAGCTAGCCTACCCACAGGCAACCTCCCTGCATACAAATGTAAAATGACATTGACATAGAAAATGGGAAAAGAGACAAAAAATTTCTGGCAATCTCCCTCCCTAAAAGTCCACAGGCATTTTGAAATACCAGCTTCAAATGCTGCAAGCTAAGGCTAGAAGTAAGGTCCAAATAAGGATATGGTAATGTTGCCTCCCTAGGAATTCCACAGCACAAGTAGCAAATAAATGTACTTGGTACCACTCAAAACAAAACAAAACAAAAACAAACAAACAAACAAACAAACAAAAAAACCCACTAGATTACAAAAATTACTAAGATTGGAAAACATCAGGTATGGAGCTAAACTAAAAATTGAAAGAGACTGCAATGAATGAGCACTATACCTTAAATGTATAAATGCCAATGACATGTAACTACATGCGAAAGTTATCCATATATCATCTAAATGGTTGAGCTAAAGGTAAAGACATTTGGGTTTTAGTTGCAACTCTGCTAATAACCTTGGACAATTTACTTCGTTTCTCCATGCCTAGTTTTTGTCACCTACAAAGGACACACACACACACACACACACACTCAAAATGACTGTGAAACAAATATCCAAAGTTATAAGAATGCCAAAGGAAAAACATGATTTCATTTATAAATATCTCATAAGTGTACATTTCACAAATGTGATGAATCTGGGGGGAAAAAGTACAATCGGTGTATGAATAAAAAAGGTCAAATGTCATTTCTTCCTGGAGAACTGAGCAATTATATCACAGAGAGCAGGCAAACTCGTATAATTTCAGAGAACTGACATGTAACACTTGCCACGGTAAGTAACTTGGAGTAAGGAAAGGGATAAAACCAAGAAAGGCAGAAAAAGAAACATAGCACCTAAAATAGGATTCAATCAAAAACAAATGCCCACCACTATAGTCCTATAAAATACCCTCTCCTTTCACACAACTTAGTGGCTCCTGTGTGAAAACATAAATCTAATCTCATTCAAACTCCACTCTGTTTAGAATCCCAAACACCTTTTTATCCCACTGCACTTGTAGCTATAAGACTGTTTCTCCTAATCGTCTCCAAAGGCTTCCTCGCCCTTAGTTCTGCCTGCTCGATTGGATTACACACTTGAGAACTGAGATTTCTCCTTGTTACTCCATCACTATGCCCTGCAGCGCCAAGTCACACTGTAGATAATAATCACTGAACAAACTGAAATTAATTGCACAGTAAGTTATATTTTTAAAAAGAAATATAAAAGAACAAAAGAAAGGAAAAACAACGTATTCTTGTTTTGATAGGCAAATTTTCCCACAAACTCTGCATGAAAGATTTATGTCTTCTAACTAGAAATAACAATAAATGTTAAATGATTTTAGGGATATTTTATGCATGTAAATTAGGAAAAAAACAAAGCATCTAGATTGCATATTCTTACCACAATTACTCAATAATTTTGCCATTATGTAACTGGTTTCCTAGGATTGGAGATATACAAAAAAGCCTAATTCTTCACCTAAATCAAAACCAAATTTGCAAGCCAATATATATGTATGAGGTAAAGCTTTATGCAAATAAAATAAACAAAAGATTTCCTACAAAAAAAATTAAAAGGCAAAATCAGGAGAACAGAACAAATGAAACTCCTTATACCATATTAAAATACAACACTTTTTTTTAAGGTACAGTAATATTAGATATTTAAGGTAGGTACTATTTCTAAAAATTTTAAAGAACTTTATTTTTTATAGTAAATTTTATGTCACATATAGTAACTAAAAAATCCATATTATCATCAATAGTGGTAGAAAGGTTCTGAAAAACTTGAAATTTCACAAATAATTTGTCAATAACTACAGACCATCAACTATGCCACAGCTTGCCTGCAATGGTAATCAACTACACCTAAAATAAAGAAAAAGTACATCAATGTCACCCTAGAATTAAAGCTGGAGTAAAACTATAATTAAAGTAATAAACTAAATTGTAAAGGACTAAAAACAAAAGTTCTTTCTGGAAAAATAACATAAAATCTCTTTCACATACAATCAGGAGGAAATAACCTGCCTACTTTCAAAGCTCTATACCTTTCCCACTCAAGTCATATATTTCAATTTAACTTTTTTTTAAATTCTCACAAGGTAAAAATCCTCAACACTAGGTCATACACAAAGACAGCTTTCCTCTCAAATAGTTGCTAAAGTAATAGGATGAAGATGAATAAAAAATAATGATGCAAGGCAGAAGTAAGGAAAGCACGAGGAGGGAGATGAATAACAATAACGATGCAGAGCAGAACAGAAAGGAGATAGAGAGGAACAAAGGGCATCCGGGAAGAGTGAGTTCATATCTGATGTAAGGCTGGCGTTTAGAGAATGTGAGAAGAGGTAAAATTTCAAATTTGAGAAATTCTGGGGATAAGGTGATAAATATAAAGCAAAGCACATGTAAAATCAGTGTAGCATAAAGCATACAACAAGTTAAGCAACAGAAGGTGGCTTCCACAGGGTAGAAAAATGTCCCGGGGAGAATGTGCATGTACACCAAGAGGCAATAAAATGCAACAATTAAGACTTTAAAAAAATTAAATATATTTTAATATATACTAGAACCATATTTTCCCCTTAATAGAAATAAAATATATTCAATATATATCCCTGTGCCAAGTGCTATATCAAAAAAAGCATACATATTCAGTATTTTCTTAGCATAATAAACTAAGCAGGATTATTTTAGGAAAGTGGTAGACAACAAAGAAGTTATTCGATATTTTAGAGTCTCTCTTCTAGCAGTTACAATACACTATAAGGTTGCATATAATATTACCTAGCCTATTTTTCTATTTATATCATCTTTGAGATAAAGCTACATGAACATACATATAAAAAAATACACATCATAAATATAACTCTATGAAAAATAAAGAAAAACAATCAGAAATTTAAGTCAACATTTTAGCCAAGCCATTATTCCTCTCAACATAACAACAAAAGGTTTTATAAGAGGATTCAAGTCTACAAAACAAGTGGAGCCCTCAAGTGTAAGGTGTTATAAAACATTTCCAAGGTATTTATGGTTTCTAAGGAAGTAGGCTATAAATTTACAAAGCAATTTCTCACTTAAGGATTCATCTCTTAAGGGACCATATTCAAGTTTAGAAGGGAAAAAGAAAAGATTACATTTTGCATTTAACCACTACTTTCAAATTATACAAAATACCACATTAATTAGAAATTCAAACCTAAGTTCAGGACTTTCAATTCTATTCACTTTCATATGTGTAAAAAGTTATAAACAACTTAATGGTTCTCCTTACCTTATTAAATAAAATACTCTCTTTTATTTTGAAAAACAATTTAGCCTAATTTTTAAGCCCATAGAACAGCTTGGAAGCTTATAATCCTCAGCAGCAGGTTTTTATTCAAACTAAACGATGAATACAAAATCTTCATTTCACAGATGAGGTTTCAAAACTCCACAGAAAAATTATAAAGTGGAATATGAAGTGCAAACCAACTTCAGTTTCTGCAC